GCGTTCGGCGGCCCCCGCGCACAGCTGCGAGCAGAGGGGCCAGAGCGGCCCAGGGCAGAACTCGCCCGCCGTCCGCCGCCACACTGCTCCGCCACAAAGCGCGCGTACCTTTAGCAGGAGCCAGAGGGCAATGTACAAGTACCAGGCTGAAAGCGTCGGGGTCTTCTTGGTTTTTGTTTTTTTTTTTTTCTTTAAATACAGCAGCTATGTTACTCCAACACTTTCTGAAAAATGGGTTTGGTTACCGCAGGAAGCCAGCTACAAAAACCAGACGTTGCCAGAAGCAAAGTGTCAAAAGAGTTGGTGCTCACTCTCCTGCTGCAAGAACCAGCTTGTCCTTTTCATTGTTGTAACAAAGTTATGAGACCCAAATACTGCACAGCTGAAACAAGCTCCGGCTCTGGAATTCATCCCACACTGATCCAAGAATTACTGCTGGACTTCGAAAGCAATAAATACTGAGAAGGTAGGTTCTGTGCCTGACCTCGTTCCCAATAGCAGAGTGCCCACCACCAAAGAGCCACTCCACCCTTACCCACTGCTGGGAGTACAAAACGGCTGCATTTGCAACACAAGACATTGTAGAGCTAAAATGCCTGATTAATTCCACAAAGGAGGGAGGCTGGATATGGAGAAATAAGTTAAATGGACTTAAAGGAGACTATGAATTTACATTCATGAGAATAGACCTAGGGAAGAAAACATTTTCCAAACGAGTGCAATCGAGGTTCACTGTTGAACAAACAACCAGTGGAAGAAAGTGCATTGGTTGTTTCTGTGTTTAGCATAATTTAGAAAAAGCAAATACAATGCAGAGTTTATAAAAGATGTGTACAATACTAAGTGTAAATACAGGTTTGGGCATTTTGAAAGCTAAAGGGTCGGCGCTCAGAGTGGGGTTGCCAGAAGTTATGGGAATGGCACAGAAGAATGAGAAAAAAATGCATCAAGAGGCCACACAAGTAACAGTTCTCTGTGTGAATACAAGTTAAATTTCTAACAGTTACATAAATTTAAAACAGATGCGTATCAACTTCCTTGGAAAATGCTACCTTTAAAGTTGTAACAAATATTTCCCTCTGGCTTTTTCAAAAGTACAAACATTAGACAACTAGTGACAGAAAAACAAATGTGCCACATCTTACCTTCCTGAAATAAAGCTGTACTTCACATACAGCTGTACTACATGAAGAAAGATGGTAAGTCACACAGGAAAAATGGATAGAGCATCCACATTAAAAAAAAATGTTAGTGATCATTTACACCCTTGGAAGACCTGTTGCACAGTTTATCCAGGCACAGCCAGCCATTTTTACAGTGACACCTTGGTAGCTCTAAAATATGCATAACAAGTTCCTGTAAAGGCCCACATTATGCATTTAAACGGATGTTAGCAGTTTGCTGGAACAGACTACTTTTTAGCCCAAATCAAAGCTTCTCTTCCCTAACCTCACATCACCCCCTTTCCCATCATTCAAAAATGCTGTTATAACCTTTTTTCTTTAAGCAAATAGGGACCTGAAACCCACTGCCTTATAAGTAGTTTCGTAAGTTGGCTATAGGTTTTTTCAACCAATAATTCTAATATTGACCAGCCGTAGTGTTTTGAAATGCCTGAAATAGTGATGCTTTGACACAAGTTCACAATATAAAGCAGCTCACTACTAGTATTTATTTTGTGTAAAGGATATGTCAGAAAATTATAAACATTTCAGAATTCGTTTAAGAACTACTGGATGGGAATAGGGCTACAAGGAAAATTATTTAAGGGACCACAGAGGTAAACAAATTATTGAATTAAAAGAGAGGGAAGAAGATCCATACCAGTGAATCACTGATAGGTCATTAACATTTTAATTAACAGCAAAACAATTGCTGTAGTTAAACGCAGATGAACTTCACCAAAGTAAAACCGACAATGCAGAAGCCAGAACAGCAAGGCACCTCTGAGAATTAGTTAGGCAGGGATTTGGACAAATAAAAGAGGACAAGTGGAAGTTCGTGTTCAGCCAGAATACTGTGAACTTGGGCTGCATGTGCAGAGACCATGGGACATATGTGACAATGTTGAATTCGGATTTGGCATTCTCATTAACAGAGGAATATTGACAAAGAGCAAAGCAAATCCAAAGACAAGTCACAAAAGGACTGCAGGAGTTGGAAAACTAGTAATTAATGAAAAATAATCAATTTATAAGGAAAAGGTTAAAAGTACCAGTTCGTTGAAGTAAAAGGGCAGGTACAAGAGGTCATGAGGAAAAGAAACATTGTAGGCTGAAGTTTTCAGAGCAACAAAGTTCAATGTGGGTATCAAAAAACATTGCCTAAAAGGTAAAAAATGCCCCAAGTCACTACATGGACAGACTTACATTTTCAAACATTGTCTTGAATATCGACACCATAGACATCAGCTTTGTTTCCCCAGGGCTATAGTCTCAGGAAGAACACATGTAGAAATGGAAGAAAATCCACTGCAGATTTACAAAGGTGCAAAATAAAAAAAACCCCCGAGACATGTATCTGAACATTCAGATACATTTCAAATACAGGAGGGAAGTCGCAAGCGTGAGGTGACGATTAGGCAAAACCTGCCAATTTTGGCTGGAATAGTCACCAAGAGAACAGCTGGGGGCCCTGCTGCCTGCAGCATTTCAAACTCCAGCCTGGGCAACACCGAGGTACAGATCCAGATTCTAGGGATCCAGATGCCGTGGAGCAGGACGGCTGTCCTCATGCCCCCCCACTCCTTTTACACTAATGGGGGCCAAGTGAATAATCAAAGACGACAGACACACTTGAAGTGCAGACAATTAACTGCAGCCCTGTTATAAGGACTCATGACAACTATGTTCAAGCATTTCTTCTAGGCAATGAATCATTTTTCTTTGTTACTTAAACCCAGCTGAACACCATTTAAAAAGTAATCTTTTCCATTTGATTTACATACCAAGCTTCATGGGAACGTGGCTTTGTAGGAGAGTTTTCCTTGAAAGGAAGGAATTAAATAATGAAATTCAAGTTACTTTATCAAGTAATCTGCACTTTACACCTTGTGTATGGAAAATTATGCACCAAATAAGATTCCAAAATTCAGCAAGCTCTAATCCATGCATCCTTTATTCCATTACAATCACTGTGTTGCATTTTAGCAACAGGACACAAACTGCAATCAATCGCAATCAATTTATACAACAATCTGAGGCTTACAGTACATTTAAGGCCTTTAAATTTGGAAAAATTAGACCTATGCTAGTAGTGTAACAATTTTTAAGTGTCTTGCATTTCTGATGCATAATCTGTGCGATTCCAGTGTTGAAGAATCAAATTACTTCTAAACTAAAAAGATCAGCTCAATGAAAATTTAGTTACATAAATTCATCAAAACATAAATGTGTAAATTTTTTTGTCCTGGAAACTTTATAAAACTTTAATAGCAAAATAATATAGGGATAAAAACATATTTTAACAAAATGTATTCAATCATATACAAACCAGAATTTTGCAGTTTATTGTAACTAGACTTAAATTAAAACTACCAATTAAGAATCTATGCACAATGTAAATTCAAATATGTACAGTACTTTTAAAAAGTCTACAGGAATGCTTTACAGAAGGAAATGTCTGTTATGGCTATTATTCAGACCATCTGAATATTAAAATGAGTTTTCTAGTAGTAAATTTACACATTTATTTTAAACAAAAGCAATTTTGTCCCTCGTTCCTTTAAGAATATCCCAGTTATGTTTATACACGTAATGGAGAGGTCGTTACAGAGTTTAGCCCCATATAGTAGTTTGTTTATTTTCAGGAAAAATTATATTTAAATAATTTACTCAGGAAGATCAGTAAGTTAACAAAAGAACACTAGAAGGGAGGAGGGGGAACTTCATCACAATAACTTTCCAGTTACAATACCACAGCTAGAAACTTTACAGAGAAAATACTCCCTTAGATTGAACCCAAAACCAATTGTTCAGAGCAAGCTGTAGCTCATAACAGTTGTGTTCTCCGCACTGAGAGCACTGGGAAAAAAAGTCTTTGTAGGACAGAATTATAAACGATCTGAAGTGAGACAGAGAAAACTGATCTTCGATTAATACAGCACTAGGTAAAAAGTGTCCCCATAAGCAGCTAGTATTCCCACTTCCTTCAGGGCAACGAAGCTAAAAATTGTTGGAATTACAGTAGTTGACCATATCTGTGTGCATTAGTAGAATAATTTCCAGATATAAAAGACAAATTTCATCAGATGTTTGATTAGAACACCCTAAAGACAGGGTATTTCTTCATAGTATAAAGCTATTACAGCTATCCAGTTAAAGCATGTGCAAAAACAGGTAATTTCTTCCATTCACAGTAACTGAGGTAAAATCGGGTAGGCTTCTTCAGGAGTTGGGAAGTTCATGAGATATGAACTGTTTTAGTCTCTCTAAGTATTGTGCATAAAGCTCTATGTCATTATGCCCAGCCCCTTCCACCCAGAGGGGCTCTACTGCTCGTGGACATCGCTCGTACATGGCCAAGCCGTGGGAGAAATCGATTACCTCGTCTTCGGTACCATGGATTACCAGCACAGGAGAGGTTACTTTAGATATCTTGTCAATGCTGGGGAATGGAAGAGAAAAACATAGCTCAGGTTGGGGCCTTCACTTTCATACCATTAAAGAAAGTTTAACTATTGATACCGGATCCAGTTACCACTGCATGCTTTTAAATGGCTCAAAGCACTGGAATTGTGCCCAGGTTATACAGAACAAGGCTTGCTCCCAAAACACACGTGTAACAGGAGCCTGCACTGCCATCACCATCATACCACGAGTTGTAACAACAGAAAGATTGAATGGGCAGCACGCAAATAAAGTTTGGCACAAAAATAACTCCAAACCAGGAAATACATCTGCCACAAAAACCACTGAGGGGCAAGTAAGATTCCATGGCACATGCTGCCAGTGTGGACTCTTCACATTACACATTATCACCTTCCAATTTAACAGATTAGGAACTAATTAACTACATTCTGGTCATAAGACTCATGCAAAAAAAAAAAAAGCCTCAGCTTTGAGGTTTGAACTTGTCTTTAAACCCGCAGTTTCAGCTAAAGAAAAACAATGTGTTCTTTGTACTGATTGTCCACGTTCAAATGGCAAGAAAGAAAACTGTGGGAAAAGAGCATTACACAAGGATATTTAACCACAAGCCAGAAGAAACACATAGGATTTTATGTCATGCAACCAACTTACTCTGCAAAATGGCCTTAAAGTAAACTTTTTTCCTTTTGTTCCAGCTGCACTTATATAGCTAGTGACTACCTCTCAGAGGAAAGAGAAGAGTGACAAAGGCACCTTCACACTCATGAGTTCAGACCAGAAAACCCCAACCGTGAAGCATGCTGGTAGCACGTGAACTTTGAAGTGGTAACAGCAGCTTTCTCCGACTGTCTTCATGCAGGCACCAGCTTTTATTCCCAGACAGACATTTCATGTTGGCAGTTACCAATAATTCCAAATCAGTATATAGACACCAAGTGCTAATGAACTCTGAGCTGCCTACCAGCTCCAATTACATCAAACAACGGAGGAATTGGCTCAGGACGTTATGCAGGGTATGGGATAAAGTGGCTGGAAAAATGAGTATCAGTAATATTTGATTTGACAGAAGGACAAGTCTATTTCTTTACACTATCTGATAAAAGGTGTTTGGATTTTCCTGCTCCTGAAGAATGCAAAAGCATGCAATTTTGGTAAGACTAGAGATTTCACAAAGTGATCAAGGCTGCTTAAAATTATTAAAAAACACAGGTGCCAATATACAGTGACTTAAACGGGCTTAAAGCAGTTTTATGAAAAGATGAAGTTAATTAAAAATTAAGATGTAGACTGAACCACTAAACCTCACACATATAAATCTCAGCATTTAGTATTCTAGAGAACCGCCATTGGTATTCCAGTAAACAGCTGAGTGTAAACACATTTCTGTCTCTGTCGCAATACTTCTCCAAAAAACAGGCTTCATGTCATTTAAAAAGGAAAAGTGTAAATGTAGCCTATTTAACTTTTCCTGTCTGGAACTTGAGTTGTGTGCAACTATGCTGAATACAGAAAAACATCCCAAGAACATAAAAGAGATATCAGAATAACACAGACTTTTTCCCCCCATAATTTTCATCCCTAATTAATAGCCAGATCATAGCCAAATGTAACACTTTATAATCAACATGCTATATAAACTGAAGTCTTAAGACCGTGAAGGGTCTGCCTCCAAGTTCCACAATGTGACAGACAGATCAGCTACATACAGCTACAGAGACGTTTATACATAATTTTAGTGGCTATATACTAAGTTCTCATTTATTGCAGGAAACCCCTTTCACTTTAGTAGTCAGATAATAAAACTATTTTTTCACATATATTCACAGACCATTATGCTAGATAATATTTGTATTTTGCAGAAAATTGGAAAGCGTCCCATTGCCAACTCAGCAACTCATAAGGCAGTATTTAAACTGCACATTAGACTTACTTAGTATTCTTAGCCATACCACTCTGCAGCTAGAAAAATCTACAGAGACCAAATTCTTATGGAGTCCCAACATAAAATGCACATAATAGCAATTCACTGTAGGTGCACACAGAGCTATTTTGTTTCCCACTGTGAAGACGGACAGTTGAGCTGCACACATTCATAAAAGTGCACTGCTGTTTATTTTCACTGCTTGCAGTGTAAGTGAAGTCAGACCGACAGCAATGAACAGCTCAGTAGGGCAAGAACAAAATACTCCAGTGCTACAGTACATCTGTTGTCACTGTTTCCCCCTCCCACTTTTTCTTTTTTAAACTGTTATTTGATTTGGCTGATACCAGCTAATCACTGTTACTTTTGTAATCAGAGCTATTTTTAAGGCTTTGTTTTTTCCCCTCTCACAGAAGCATTTGTAAATATTGGATTTCAGGTTTGAGGATGATGAATGAGTTTGAGTACAAGTGTTTCAAATTCTGACTGCACCTTCAACAATTTAATTACTTAACCTGTTTGGAAGAATTCTAAACATGGGGACTGGCCATAGATACTGTGAGAGCCACTATTACTTGGTCACTTGGTCACTATTACTTCTAGCTGTTTTGGCATACAGGCTTATATCTATGGCCTCCCCCACCTTCTAATTTTAATCTGTTGTAACCAAAATAAAACAAACATAAATGCTATGAATATCCCCTACTACACTTATTGCAAACATGACATTCTGAAGCAAAGCCAAGCTTTGCACAAGACTTCAGTGAGTCTCTGCTTTGTCTTCTCCCTTTCACAGACCACAGCTTTTTATCTGTGCCTCCCCCCGCCGCCCCCGCCAGGTCTATATACACTGCGGTAAAGTGACCGGCTTCCCCTCTCGTATTCTCCCACAATTTAAAACTTCTCATTTGACCCAGTTTAAAAGATTCCTAGAACATCTGCTATTCCCAGGACCTCTACTATTCCCAAATATTTGGACATTCTAATTTAGGACTGTTGCAATTGCTTTTCTAAATGAAACACTAGGCTATAAAGGCAACTGTTTTATGTTAAAAACAGTTGTATATAGCTTTCTGTATGTAAAATATGCCACAGCTTCTTAAAACAAGCTCAAAATCTTCCACAAGAGGGGCAGTAACCTACTTTATTTTGGTCACAGACATTAGGATCTTACATGATCTCCATCAGGGAGGAACAAAATACAAGTCTTGGTATTGTCAGTGATTTTATATGGACAGCATACCAAAAATGCAGAAGTGCTTTTACTTACGACGACCAAAGGCAAAGAAACACTCAATGCATTCCCTCAAGTTTATACATGAAATGCAGAACCAAGCTGAAAAGCGAACCACACCAGTCTAACACTCTAGCCTCTGACCCTCTCTTGTTTTCTCCCTTTAAAAGCAGCAAGTATCTACACCTTTTTCTCTGATCTGGTAAAACTATAGCAACATTTTAACAAGCACCTCAAAAACAGCACATCCATTTCATGATAATCATATTACCTTCTAAATCAAAGTTGACTGAGACATTAAGAGTGTACAATCACGAATTTTAGTCATCAGCCTGAAGGACTTAATAGTGTATTATCAGTTGTTAAGCTACGATTCCAAAACCTAACAGCATAAAAATTCTGGTATTAACAACCCATAACATATAAAACAGGAGAAAAATTAGTTGTAAACACAAAGACTTTATTTGTTCATCGAGTCATGTCAGTTTGAGATTGACATCAACCTGTTTCTTACATGGTGAATCTCTGCTTGGATTTAGAAGGTGTGTGTATCTCAAGTTTAAAATGCAGGTGACAATCAATAAAGTTCCCTGGAAAGTTACACAACAGTCACTTTTAAACACCTAAACAGCCTGCTGAGTATAGAACAACCCTCTTTGTAGCATTTATACGTACCTTGGAAAAGCATCAAAGCAATAGGTTTTCCTAGTGTCAGGAAAAGCTACCCGTAATCCAGACATCAAGGGAGAATGAAGGATTACTGCTGCACACTCGTACCGAGATGCCAGGTCTACTGTAGGGACAGTACCAATACTCTGACCATACAGAATAATGTTCTCAGGACTAACACCATACCTGTAGAGAAAAGAAACATCCCTTCAAAAAGAAGAAAAACCACAGAAAACCCAACACATTTTGCATCACAAAATCAAAAAACAAACAAACAAAACAAACAAAAGGAGAGGGGAATAATACCCAAAGCATCTCTCCTACCCATCGTAGCTCTTTAAAATCTATTCCTAGGAGACATGTATTTACAAGTCTAAACTTTGAAACAGTCCAGTAAAGTAAATAATGAAAATACACAAGCTGAAGAGAGCTATCCTCAAAGAAGGAACATCAGTTTGTTCGTTAATCTTCACCATCTTCATGAACACCTCTTATCTTTCACTCCACAGCACAGCAAGTTATAAATTAGACTTCTCCCCATCCAGAGTCACTCTCAGGAATTTCAATTAGATACTCTGGAGGCTAATAACCTTTCCACTATTAAACGAGGTAGTTAATCCCTGCGCACCTTTCCTTCCGTGCAGCTGGAACAAAAAGACCAAAGCTAAAGATACCAAGGAGGATAAAAATCTGATGGTTCTGTTAATTTTTTCAATTTCTGATCAGTGTAAATTATCCCTCATTCTTTTCCAGTTTAAAAAATGTCAAGCTTATCTTGTAACGATAAAGATACACCATTCTATAAAATGAAGGGTTCATAGGGAGTCCTGGATGGCTCCCCAATATTCCCATCCAGTCTATAAAACTCTCCTAGCTTGTGTGCCGTTTCACAGCTGCAAAAACGTCAAGGATGATACTAATTCAGTTTTTACTTAAAGTATGCAAAATATGAAAGAAGTTGGAAGGGGTGCAGAAGGCGGTGACAGTGGCTAGGAAGAAGTGAAGCGTACAACGAGCATTTGGTCACCACGACTTGTTAGGAGAGCTGCAAATCACAGCTCTCAGTTAATTATAAAATATTTACGCAGAAGATTTCTATGTATAACTCCACTTCCTTCTGCAAGCCATATAAAGAACAATCGAGTGCAGAAGAGAACACATTTCTAGTAGAAAATAATTTGTGCAGAACATGTCTTTTTGACAGTCTACACTGTCTACAGTCCTGCTGTCCACTGCTATGACAATGAAAATCAAAACCTACAGTTTAGGCTATACCAAACATACACTTGGAAGGTTTCAACTTCCTTGCCAAGCTGATGGCGAGGTGTATGGCAGGCCTGCATAGTACTTGACTTTCCAGCAGCTAAATGGTTGGATATGTGCAAAAGAGAAAATTACAATAGAATAATAATCAATTAATAATTAAAGTTACAATAGAAAAAGAATAATCCAGTACTAATCATCCAAATACAGGCTATCAAGATTGCCTGGTTTTATGAAGTAGTAAAACTAGACTGGATGGTATCCTCTGTGAAACTGGAATTTTCTTAATACTTCTACACCACTGAGCATAAGGGTGCTTTCGGTATCTACTGAAACATGAATAAACAACTGTATAAAAACATCTCCCTGGAGTAAAATTTTATCCCCTTGGTAACCAAGCAGCAGCTCACGTTGGTGGTCTATCACCACAGCCGTGGCCTGATGTTTTTAAAGAAATGTTGTGAAGCTCTTTTAGGAAAATTTTTTCTCCCTTGCTGTTAGAAATAGTCCAGCACACAGTAGAGCCTACAGGATTTTGGTATGCCTGTTAACAGGATCTTGGAGCGAAGTCTTGTCCTCACAGACTTCATTCTGGCTGTTGGGTGGGGAAGGCTGGAGGCTTGTACCTTTGAAGGCAGCAAATGCATCCAATCTGCTGATCTATCAGCAGTTGCATCGTATTCAAGATGGGCAGAAACACATCAACATCAGGGAATACAAGCAAACGGGACTGGAACAAGATCCTCTACATGACACTTAAGTAGGGATGGAATTATATTAATGCTAGTACGTTTTGCAACACCATCTCGAACTCCAGTATCAAGTCTCCTTTCTTAAAGGTTTACAATCTACACAGATATGGAAACAGATGTTTGAGCTTTTGTTCACAGGGTAACAGGACAGCATAGAGTAGCAAGAGAATGCCTTCAACACATACAATTGCCTTAGTATGGCAATTTTCTTCAACATTGATCTGCTTTAGTTTCACGCCTTTTGATGTTTTTTTGTTTCTGAAAACAGCTCATATTGTAAGTGGAGCACTTTGCTGCTGTGGCAATAGATACTCTAGAAAAAAAAAATCTCAATCTCATAGTACACCAATTAAAGTCAGATACAGTCTACAGCATCATTAAAAACCCCCACAGAGATCTCTGAATTTAAAGTAGCCCTTCATCACTAAATAAATGCTACAACTATTCAGTATCTAATTCCACAGAATTGTCAACATGACAATTTTGACCAAAAAAAAAACCCACCTTAAAAGGGTATTGGGACACTGAGTTAGTGTACTTGTAGCCTGTCATTAGGTCAAATGTCTTTTCTACTTTGTATTCCCACTGACTGAGAACTAAAAGAATCTCTGGGACTGTTTTAGTTAGGGACAGTCCAACTTTCCAAGACAGAAGAGTTACTGTAACTGATTTATCTTTTTAAGCCCTTTTACCATTAGGCCATCAATCAGAAGGTGAGACATCAAGCTTACCGCAAACATCAGCAGAAACAGCTACACATAAAATTTATTTATTGCAAGGCCAAAGGACATATGACAACTCATAAGCAAGGGCCGTGAATAATTGACACGTGTGAGGTTCTTGGAGCTGAAGGCCAGGGCTTGGCTCCGTGACACTCTCTGTCTTCACAAACGCTGCCCAGCTGGTGACTCAGCAAGCACCGTTCAACTGAGGAACAAAATGACCTGGGGATTTTATTTTTAAAATACAGTATCATTTAAGCAAAAGCTAGGCCCCTTCCCCACTCTCTGCAAACTCCCTCGTGGTATTAGATTCTTGTGCAACAGGAACAGTGGTACAGAAAGTGAAACAGAAGAACAGAGGAAGAGCAGACATGGATAAGGCAGCGGCAGTGAAAGGGAAACTAAATGACATAGAAAAAAGAAAAGAATGTGATAGAAAAAGACAAACAGCATTCTGAGAAAAAGAGGAATCCTGTTACAATCTGCTCTCCTATTAAGGAAGGGAGTCCTTCCAGCAGCTCCTAAAAATATCTTTCTTGAAACACGCAAGCTTTGGTCTCTTGGAAACAGAGCCCCATCCGACAGAGCGGGAGACCCAAGTTAAATTTATGGGTATGCTCCTGCACTTCTCCTGTGGAGCCCATCAGAGTTCAAAACAAGCAGGGCAACACTGCAGTGTGGAAACCAGCCTTCGGCAAAAGCAAAGTAGGAAACAATTCAAATAGTTCTTGTGGGTATAGGTAAAACACTAATTTGACAAGGGGGGAAAAAATAAACTAAGAGGCACACATGCTTTTTTCCCCAAGGTAAGTCAATTACTGAGAAGTGCAAAGCTACTGCTGTTTAAAACAATGCAAGCATTTCTACTCCTCCCTACCCACAAACACTTATCAAGTGGCAAAATTCCCCAGCCTAGTCTACTCTCAATAACCCCTGAGGAGATTATCTGGATTACGGATTACATTTCTTATGTGTGCAAAAAAACCCTCTGGCTATCTTCACAAGCAGTACAGCTATCTGCACCTACAACTTACCAATTCAAGTCAGGTCTAGCTAAGGCACCAACACACTCCAAAATAATTTTTTTTTCTCCTCTCCCCATGTTACTGCCTCAATTTATATAAATTAGGTTTACCAGTAATTCTGGTCTCCTTATGTTAACAGGAACTATTGCACAGAAGTTGGCTATTAAGAATCCACATCCCAGACTCTTCTACTTATTCCTGCACCGAGTAATAAGAGACCTCGGTCACACCAACAGGTCACTGGGATGGGAGAGATGGGGAATATCACTGATGGTGAGTATATCAAAAGGAAGATGGGACATAGCTACTTCTAGTTCAGCCTGCTTAGCTGTATGGTTGTGGCTTGGGCCATGTCCCCCCTCAGCTTCCTCAGACAACACAGATGATGGTATCAATTGCTTTTGTAAAGTACGTAATGTTTTTCTGGCTGACAGCACTATGTGCAAACTATGTATTATCATAAAACATATTTAATTATGAGCATAAGATACTGATTCTCCCCACCACCCCAGGGCTTCAGCTTTGAGCGATACAGATGGAAAGTTTACCATTGCTATTTTTAACCTCTTCCTACTCAGTTAAAAGCGCTAGTGGAATGCCGCTTCAGGGACTACAGACGTCTCATACAGCTGAAGCCCTGCAATGTTCACGGCCGAAGCTACAGCATCTGTGCCAATCCTCAAAGGTGATAAATACATATTAATTTATGAGGCCAGCCCTTTTTTCAGGCTTACTGAATCAGTGAAGTTAACCACACCTTGTATTTTCAGTTCTGAAGCTTTATGGTATTTGCTGTCCCAGTATCCCTTACCTAAACTGGAAAGCATATAGAACAGCATGGATACAGCAATAGCAACAAATTCGTTTTCAAAAACAGTCACAGTAACTACCTAGGCAGAACATTTTGACTACACAAACCCCATCTCCTAACACTGTCGAGACCTACTGTTTAACTGCTACTAAACTAAGGCAGCTACTGGTGGTCAAGTTCTTCCTTAAACACAGTATATAAAGATAAAAGGCCAGGAAAACAAGGTAACTAGCTCATGCCTTCTTGCCAGAGGACAGAGTTTGAAACTGTGCACTCCCCTCTCAAGGGAAACACCAATGAAATAATTCATTTCCAGACACAAAGAAAATCCAGCATATATCAGGAATGACACAAATCATGCCACATTTGGAGGACATAGTGAATTCTATATTATTTTTACTAGAATGTACATGTGCTCAGTTATAACAAGATCTTCATAGGCTATTCTTCAAGGTTATTTCTTCCTGTTTATATGACCCATTTGTCAAAACATACTACTTCTTCCCTTTTCAAAATGCATTCTCTCTAAACCTTATAATCCAGAGAAATTGTAAGAAATTAGATTGCTTTAAGAAACAGGTTTTTCTATAGCATCATTATACCCTTCCATAAG